AATCCTAAATATGTATCTTAAAATGATGACACCGTGAGCCAAGTTACAGAGACATACGTGCATTGCAATATACACTTGTTCTTTAAAAGATCACAACTTCACTTTCTGCAGGTGCACTTATTCTGGACGATGTCTTCAGGGGGTCCCTCCAGGGGGCAGGACCCCATGCACCTGCCTCATGAAGGTGCCAGGCATTGCCTCTGAAAAACAGAAGCTGAAAAAGTGATGGGAGAGGTGCGACTATGCAAAATGTTATTCCATGAAATAACACAATTGGTTTTTGATAGAATTGCTCCATGCAAGTTTGACTCTCTCACTAGATATGACCTATAATCGAGATATGACTATAAACTACAAGTAAAATATTTATTAGAGTAGAAATTTTAGTACCAGTACCTAACCCAGATTATTCAATCATGTTTATTTGTTGCTACTGGATAGTCATTTTCTGTTTCCTTTTCTGCTCAAACACATGGTGTTTAAATATCACAATTTTCTGTTTCTTACCATTAAGCCTTCTTTTTTGCCCTTAATGTGGTTGTAGTAGTCTTCCATGCTCTTGAAAATCAGTATAAACTAATCTATGGGTGATTTCACAATGAGGAGAGCTACACTGAGATCCTAAGTGTTAGTTAATGCAATATATATTTAAAGGATTAATTTGCAAATTTCTCATTTTTTTAACAAAAATTCCAGTCTGGGGCATTAGTGAAAAAGATGAAAGTACATTAATCTATTTGTCTTATATAGTTACTCACTTTCATGGTGGTAGATATAACTATATCTCATCACTGACTGACATTGAAAGAACATTAAATAGTTTTTCAGTTTGCATTGACAAAAGTCTTCATTTATTTATGCTCTGGCTTCATTAGAAATATGACTCAAAGTTATTATGCAACTCTTTCATTAACAGAATCACTACTTCTGTGCATACTCAGAGTCTTACATATGGTTTCTGTGTGGGTCATGTCTATGCTCCAAGTATGTTCCTGCAAATAAATATATTATAATTTTAAATTAATTTAAAAATTAATCATGATTGTACATGATGATTAAAAATAATAGTCAAAATCTGGCATTGAATATTCTGAGGCTGTGTGACCCATTGTTGTGTTTATCCTATTGTCTCTTGCATTGCCCAGACTTTCTTTATAGATGTACAGGAATGTTTTAAAATGCATTACAAACAGCGAATGTTTAATTTCATGTAACCCGGGCGGTACTCCAAAAGGTACCCCCTCTCCAACTGAAGGGATCAAAACAGGTGCACAAGTGCTGTGGGAGGTGTAGGGACTCTCCTCCCCCTATAGAGCAGAGCCAGACCACCACTGGGGACTTAACCATATACCTTTTAATGAGGGAACAATACTGGGAACATAGCAGGCATAATCAGGGGGTATAGTGGACACTACAATACCCCAAGGGGCAGGATTCAACAAAGGTTAGACACTTACAATCATTGACAAAAGACAGGGTTAACAAAATATAAAACACAAACAGCAGAGCAAACAATACTGGTTGGGGAAATATAAAAAGGCACAAAATACAAAATGTCAAAGGACAAAGAAATATAGGGCCTAGGTACCTGGAAGGGGAGAAAGGGGGAAAACACAATGGCCCCTTTCCACTGCAAGAAAAATTGCTCCTTGTTAGCTTACTCACCCCAAATCACCAAAGCTGGGACTTGAACTTGGATCACCCATGTAATAGACAGAAATCCTGCTATACAGCCACCAGTGCTGGTACTGCTCTGAGCTGCTAGGGGTCTTGACCATCCTGGAGCCCCAGTCTTACATCAAGCTGCCTGGTCTCTGCTTGGAGGAGCTGGAAGCTGAGCTGGGAACCCCTCAGGTCGCTGCTCAGATCCTTGCTGAAGCAGGAAGCCTCTCCTGTTGGCCACAGCCTCTCGTAGGGGATCCTGGAGCCCAGTAGGAAGCCTCTCCTGCTGGCCGCAGCCTCTTGTAGGGGATCCTGGAGCCCAGCAGGAAGCCTCTCCTGCTGGCCATATGCCATGCTGCTGAGGGTCCAACTGCTGCCTGCAGGTCCTGCTCCTTCAGGCTCTTCTGGGGCAACTGCTCCCACCCCGCTGGCTCAGCTCTTGCCAGCTCTTTGAAGCTCCTTCCTCGTGGTCCCTTGCTGGTCTCTTCCCTGAGTCAGCCATGCTGCCCCTTTTATCCCCCTCCAGGTGACCCAAGGAGCCAATCAGGGGACATGAGGGGTGAATCTCTGGGGCCTGATTGGTGAGGAAAGGGAATCCCGGGTCCTCCAATCATCTTTTACCCCTTCAAAACCCCTGGGCCAAATCATTACCAGATTGGTGAGGAAAGGGAATCCCAAGTCCTCCAATCATCTTTTGCCCTTTCAAAACCCCTGGGCTAGGTCACTGCCAGCTAGCCCGTCACATTCATAAGAAGTTTCATTTAAAAAAGTAACTATGATTATTTATTCCTTTTATTGAATGAATAGTTGCAACCTGATTGTGTGTATGTATTCACTGGATCCTCTGTGTATCCACTCTGTTTTATACTATGGTGCATATCTATTGCCTGCTGAAATGGCATATTGCATGTTGCTGATTTGTTCTTGTACACACCCTATTCAGTGTTTTGTTTGCTGCCATTCTGGTGATTGGTTTTTTTGGGGATGCTGAAAACAAGACCACAAAATAAATTTGGACTGATTAAGATCTATTTAACTTGAGGCTAATATAGGCAAAGACTAAAGTCTGATGAACTCATTTGTGATGTTTTTTTCACTTACAGTTATCACTGACAGTCCACCAATTTAGTGAACTCATTTCATCAGGACATACTGTAACTTGCTGTGCCTGTCTTGAGCTCCCTGCTTAGGTTTCCTAGTTGCCCAGAGCTAACCACTGTCTTGCGGCCTGACAGTTTGACCACTGGCACCAGTTAGCAAGACCACCAATGCTTCTCGCTTGCCACGTCTTTGTTGGAACTTCAATCTTGGGGGAATAGTGTCAATCCCAGCTCAGTGGTATCTTGTTAGGTCTAATCGTTAGCACAAGAACATTGGGGCTTCACCTTCCCTAC